CTGGATGAATGGACATGGGAAATCTGGGGTGGAGAGGAGGAGTGTGCTGTCACAGTATAGGGAGAGCAATTAGGGTCACATAACAATGTACGTAAAATTTTTGTATGAGACTAACTTGAAATGTAAACTTTCACTTAAATTACAACAATAAACAAACAACTAAATAAATGATTGCTAGTGTGTAGGAAATCTACAGCTTTTTATATGTTTATCTTGTGTCCAGCCACTTTATGGAATTCTCTCATTTAGTTCCAGTAGTCTTTCAATTTCACTTGAGTTTTTCAGTCATATCATGAGCATATGGACAATTTTGCCTCTCCTTTAAAATATACATTATTTCCTTCTCTGATTTTATTACACAGTATGATCCTTCTAACTTATGGATTGGTCATGTCTCCTCTGCTCAAAATTTTCCCATGGTTTCCTAAAGTCAAAAGAATGACCTCTCATATGATGCCTTCCCTTGTGGTAGATTTAGGTTCCTTCTTTCATGATTCCTTCCTTTGCCCCTTGTATAGTCCTCCACGTAGCACTAATGGCATTGAATTATAATTTGTCTGCTTACTTGTGAATTAATTCAGTGGAAATGTCCCTCGAGGGCAGGAACAATGTCTGTTAATATTTGGTATCTCAGCACCTATCACCGTGCCCAGTGCTTGGTTGGCACTCAATTGCATACTTGATAAATGCATACATTTGATGTATAAATGCATAAATGATGGAAATTTTGGCATCTGGCAGATAAAGTAGACAGATACCTTGTTATAGGCACTCTTCCATTTGTGATCTTTAAATTACTTGATGGTGATGTGAAAGGTTGACTTTGTTTTAGTGCAAATTCTAATTTAATCATTCTTCTGACTCACTGATGACTTTTCCTGTTTAATATTACAGGTACTTTGAAATATTAGAAAGACTACTTTTCTAAAGCTTAGTTGATGTGTTTTTGATTAAATATATTTACTCCAAAAGATACTTACTAATGTGTCTTTTTCTATAGCAAGCACCGTCTAGGCATTTGGAAAACACGCCTTCTAGATTAAGAGGAATCAATAACTGTCTAAAGAATACTAAGAGATAGAAAATAATTGTTAGCCAAATGTAAATGTGCATGAAAAAGTAAAATACAAAACTCATAGCAGTCAACAAGAGAGCAGTTTTACATTACTACTGTTTTAATTCTGGAAACATTCCATCAAAGTGAGGGGGCATAAGAAGCGTGGAGGAAAGGGCATTTGCTTAATAAAAAGTAATCTGCATGAGTGTCTTCTCCCTCAAAGCAGGGCTGGGCTATGAAACTTCTTTTTCAATAGCTGCCTGGGGAATTCCCAGACAATTTGTAAAAGTGTTTTTCAGAAGGATTGCTTTTTTTTTTTTTTTTTTTTGCCAAGGACACAGGTAGAAAATATTCACTCTCAAAAAGAGATTAAATGAAGGAATCTACAGATTTGTAGAGTAGAAATTGGGAACAGAAATAGTGGAACAAAAGAAATCATAATAATTAACAATTACTGAGCATTTACTATGTTGCAGGCGCCATAGTGATGATTTTAATTGTATTACCTCATTTGATCCCCATAAAAATCTAATGACGTGGGAACTACTATTTCCCCCCTTTTTAAAGAAGAGGAAATTGAGGTTCAGTAGCATCCTATCAAAGGTCATGGAACCAGTAAGTGGCTGACTCCAAAACCAGCCCTCTTCACCACTTCGCTCTGCTGCTACACTTCAAGCATGCGTACCGCAAGGCGGAAAGTTCCTGTTGTTTAAAGCAGGGCTTGGAACCTGTTCATTGTTTTTGGTTCAACCTCCTGCTAGAATTTGCATCAGGGCTCTGAACCTTTGGGTTTGACCCCATGCTGATAATTTGCGTTTCTACCCCAGATATACTGAATGAGAAGCTACAGTTTAACAAAATCCCCAGGTGATTCTTATTTATTATAATTTTTTTTTTGAGAACCACGGCTCTACTAGTGGGTCTCAGAATTCGTCCCTAACCGGCAGCATTAGCATTGCCTGGGAACTTGTTAGAAATGCAAATTCTCAGCAGGGGATCAAACCAAAACAAACCAGTTTTAAGGCCTGGTTTAAAGACTAGCCCCTGAACAATTGCAGAATCTGAGAACCCTCTATAATCGGTATAACTATTCTGATATATTTCATTTGTCAACAACATGTAATGGGTGCCTGCTAGATGGCAGGCACTGTGTTCAGCGCAGGGACATGAAAATGACTAAGCTACCGCTCCCAATCTAGAAGGAACGAGGTCTGTGGGTGACCCACACAAATACACAGGGTAATACCATGGGAAAGAGGGATCATGCGGGGTAGGCTCTTCACCAGGATTGAACTCAGATGCAATGAGGAGGTAACTATCTTATGGTGGGTCAGTGGGTAATGGGGATCAGTGTGGGCTGTTCAAACGGAAACATCCAGCCAAGGGTGGGAGAGGGAAGGAATCGGCAGAATCTGGATGATGGCTTCAGCCACACCTGGGTCAGGGCTTCCCCAATACTCCAATGAGGAGGGTGCTAATTAAGACCTGATGCACCACTGTCATATGTGAGGATCTCAATTCATCCTCACTTCCTCTTGTTGATTTTATAAAGCTCTATGTGCAAAGAATTCCATCAGATATTATCCATTAAGTCAGGCAGTCATTCAATAAATATTTATTGAGGGCCCACTCTGCATTGAGGATACAGAGGTGGACAAGACAGACAACGTTCCTGCTCTCCTGGAGCTTACATTCTAGCAAGGGAGACAATTTTAACAATTAACTAACTAAATAAATATGGTTATTACAGAGTCTGATAATTGGTATGAAAGAAATTAAACAGGATTGCCCCATGGAGGGTAATTAGGGAAAGTCTCTTAGAAACAGCGGTCAAGGAGGCTCCTCTGAGGAGTGACGTCTGAGCGGAGATCTGAATGGGAGTGAGGCAGCCATGCCAGTAGCTGAGGGAAGAGCATTTTGGGCAGAGGGAAGAGCGAGTGCAAAGACAGGTACTGAGGAGGGGTGCTTAAAGCTGGAGGGTTTATAGACCTCATTCTCATGCTCTGATGTACGAGACCAAGCACTAGGCGCCTGTTTTGCAGTGGAGCTGGAATAGAGCCTATTGTTATTTTGGAATACCAACAATAAGTGGCATAACAATCAATAAAAAATATTTTTCTTCCTCTTGCAAAAAAAAATTAATCACATCCTGAAACTTACAAAAGGCCCATATTTGCATGTTAATAGAAAAAATAGAATATAGAGCTAGAAGAGGTCATCTAATCATCAGGAGTCATCTAATCCAACTCCTCCTTTTAGATGAGAAAAGTGAGGCCCCAAAAAAGGTGAGATGAACCGCCTGTGGTCACATGACTTAATAGTGACAGATGTGAGATGAGAAATCCAAATTTGGAATTATGCGTGCTCTTTCCATAGCACGATGAAACTGTTTGGATTAAGCCTTTGTTTTGAAAATGATGAACCTGATTTTCCACCTCTTAAATGTCTCCCATTAAGTTTTCCATTTTCCTTGAAACTCTTCCAATTCAGTCGTTAAAAAGCAGCAAGCTGTGACTAAGGGTTATTCTCTTTCCTAACTGAAGTGGAAGCCAGCATGCATAGCATCCATTGGCCACCAGAGGGAACTGAAGATTCCTATTTCGAGTAGCTGGTCTCGTTTCTGAGACACAAATTCTGACTGAAAAGTCCCAGAATCTTCTTGGCTGAATATAGGGAGGCTGGGTTTGAGACAGGAAGTAGAGGCATGAGTTTTGCTTACACACTGGCTGCCCACATCGACTCCCCTGACTGGCCCATAGCAGCTGAATGAAATTACTTCACCTCTCTTCAAGAACTCAGCCTCAGAGGGCCAGGTGTCTGCCAGAACCAGATTTACAAGCTGGCAAATGCCTATACCAGCACCATTGCACAGTATTTGTAACAACAATTAAAGAGGGGGGATGAGGCCATGCTCAAAAGATTAGGACTCACTCTGAGGAGATGTGGCCGAAGCTTAAAATTGTAAAGAATGTAGGCCAGGGGGCATAAGGGTATTCACTGGTACCCAGAATATCAGAATGAGAGGGGGTCCCCCTGAAAGAATGGAAGAGATCATCTTAAAAGGAGCAGAAGGAAATGCTCCTTACATGGGATGAGGAAGGTCAGCTTTGGCAATAAATTCATGAAACCACTGACTGATGACTTCATACATCTAATAATAGTTTTTAAAATATTTTTTAAATAGTTTTTAAAAAATAGTTGCTGTGGAGGCAACTCTGACTTATGACAACTCTATGTGTGTCAGAGTACAACCGTGCTCCATAGGGTTTTCAATGGCTGATTTTTCAGAAGCAGATCACCAGGCCTTTCTTCCAAGGCTCCTCTACGGGTGGTACTACCTTTCAGTTAGTACCACCCAGGGACAGATCGTGCATGAGATACTGATAATCGACTACCCATCCCTCAGTGCCTCTATTTGAGAGACTACTGGGCCAGGAGTAATTTATAAATTCGTGAACTTTGAAGCTTCTGCCCTTTATGCTGGGACCCTCGCTGCTCTTTGCCGCCCCATCCCTCCTCATTCCGCCTTAAGGAATGAGAACAGCTGATGTCGAAGTAAACAGAAAAGAGAAACATATGCAGCATTTCCTCTCAGATGGCAGATATCCACATCCAAAGACACCGAAAGTGTGTGTGTGTGTGTGTGTGTGTGTGTGTGCAAACAGGTTGATCTAGGCTCTGCCACTTCTTTCGTTTTTCTACCTTTCTATGCAATCGAAACCAAATCAAAACAAACCAACATCCCAATGAGAACAAATTCGCAATCCTTAAGGAGGGGCAGGGTGGAGAGGTAAAAAAGTGAATAAAGAAATCTCACGCCTAACAGGATGCGGAGGGGCAGAGGGTCTCCGCCCCCCCCGCCTCTGCTCTGATTGGCCCCTCTCGGGAGGGGCGGGACTCGGGCGCACTAGGGAAGCCCTGGGCCGGGTTCAGTCACGTGGTTTTTGTTGGAGTCGCCGCGATGACTGGGCGAGGTCGTGGGTCCGCGCGCGTCCTGCTCGCCCCGCTGCTGGCGCTGGCACTGGCACTGGCACTGTTGGCGCTTCTGGCGCCGCCGGCGTTGGCCCGGGGCGGCCGGGATCACGGGAACTGGGACGCGGTCGCTCTGCTGCCGCCCCGCGAAGATGCGGCGCGCGTCGCCCGCTTCGTGGCGCACGTCTGCGACTGGGGCGCGCTGGCTACCCTCTCCACCGTGCCGGCGGTGCGCGGCCGACCCTTTGCCAACGTCTTCTCGCTCAGTGACGGGCCCCCCGGCGCGGGCAGCGGCGTGCCCTACTTCTACCTGAGCCCGCTGCAGCTCTCCGTAGGCGACCTGCAGGTGAGCCGGGAGGGCCGGCGGCTCCCCGAGCCGCGGCAGGCGACTGGGCACCGCGGAGTCGCAGGCCCTGGTTCCGGCCACGGGGAGGGGCGGCCAGAGAACGAGGCTTCCTGCTCTAGTCCAGATTCTGCCGAGGACTGAGAGCGTGGCTTGTAGAGATCAGAGTTCAAGCCCGGTTTACACTCCTACCTCTTCTGCCCCGCGCAGGCCACCGTCGCAGGAGGGCAGGCGTTTGCAGCTTCCAAGTTGTTGGGCCACTGAGTGCCAGGAATTTCACACCCGCCCC